GTAAAAGCTAGATGGCTGCCCCGAGAGACAACATGGATGAAGAAATGATGAATATTATCAACACCGGCACTCAATTTGTCGATGGTGACCAGTAGGATGTAGATGACGGGAGTCAATACCTGGCTCTTGAAGATAACCAAGAAAATATTGTGCAAGAAAATACAGGCGAGGTATATATATTTATATATATATTTGAATATTATATATATATATATATTTGAATATCTATCATCTATTATACATAGCCCTCTGGATCGACGACAACAACGGCGAAAAGCAAAAAAAATCGAGGCCCGAAAAAGCCATTGGAGGGGCGCTACATAATATCGGAATTCAATATCGAGACAGGCGAACCACTTGGTCCACACGCAAGGAAATTCGTGCAACACTGTGGGTGCCTTGTAAGGGACAGACTTCCGATCAGTGCCCGTGAATGGAAGCAAAAGATCAACGAGCGTCATGTTAGTTTTGTCTCTGATCTTGATAAGAATTTAATTTGGGATGATATTCTTCAATATTTCACGTTGCAAGTGGATGATTATGATGCTATCAACGATGATGAATTGAAGGAACTAGTTCGAAAGTGGGCTATGAAGAAGATGGCCATACAATTTCAAACTTGGAAGAAATCCCTATACACGAAATATGTCAAGAAGAACGTAACGCCCAATTTCAATACTAGTGGCCCGCTCATGAAGTTGAGGCCCTACTGGAATGATTTTGTACAGTACAAGACATCAGAAGAGGGTGAGGAACGGGTGAGAAGGAACCAAGAGAATGCCCGACAGAAGGTATACCACCATGGCATGGGATCTAGTGGCTACGCGACTACCATTCCCAAGTGGGAAAAAATGGAAGTGGACATTCTTGCCAAGGGTATCACACCAGAATCACTCAATTGGCCCAAACGCGCGAAGAATTGGTTTTTCGCTCATGGAGGAAGACTGGACCTAGAGACCGGGAAGCTAGTTCATGGCTCAAAACTCAAAAGAGCAACACAAAGATTATCTTATGCTCTATAAGCTAAAACTATTGGTGCGTTCAGGCCCAATAGAGAGAAGGATGAACTGACGTATGCCCTCGGGACCGCTGAACATAGTGGCCGAACGAGAGGTTTAGGATGGAATATTTCTTGGGAGCATGGTTTCCCTGACGACAAAGATACCTACAGAAGCCGGCAGAGAAGGAAGGATGAGGATGCAGCGTGGATCAGCAGGTTGGAGGAATTGGTTCGTGAGTCACGGGAGGCGTTGCTTCAAGCACAGGAGCGTGAAAAAGACATGCAAGCTAGAATGCAGGACGAAATCATAAAGCAAGTGCAAATAGCAATGAGTGCCCAGAGGCAGGCATCAGATCTAGGAATGAACATTAATATTAGCCCCCCTAATCAGTTGAAAAGAAGCTGCGCTTCCACGGAGTTGTCAAATCAAGATGACGCAATGCTACGTTTCCCCGTGGATGACATCACTGCACCGTTTACATCATGTGAGCTACATATTCCAAAAGAGAATGCCACAATCATGGTGGCTCTCGGTGTTTTTTCTCCTCCAGATCCTACCAAGACACCAAGAATCCATAGGGCAATAATACCACCTGGATATGTTAGCGTCTCAGTGGATAGAGTTAACAAAGGTTTTAGTGACCTGCCTCTTGACATTCCAAGAGGTGATGGGGAGAAGACTCTAGGAGAAGCAGAGAAAACATTCATACTATGGCGCAAGCGCTACATCATTATTCTCGGGGTCTCTAGTCCACCGTCGCTTCCTCAACTGCCAGACAATAGGTGCGGACAAAAGTGAACGAAATAATTTTTTCACAAACTTTCTATTGACATGCATGATTAATAATAACAATTTTTATACCTAATTATTCTTTTTTGTAATCACATAGCAGGGCCTCCGCCAACCTAAGTCCAATTATTCAATCTCCAGATCATCATAGTGCTTCGGGCAATCAGGTGGCAACGCCGCCACTGCCGCCACCTCCAAGGAGGTCTCCAACGCCTCCAACGGCTGCCCCGCCTCCCTTGATGACTAAGAGGAAGCCAGCTCCTGAGAGGTCCGACCTGCAAACAAAGTCGTTGTCCCACCAGCCGGCAAAGAAGAAAGCCTCATCTAATCCAGTTATTCCCCAAAAACTGTCTTTCGAGAAAAGTGAAAAGGAATTAAAAGCTGCAGTAAAAAAAGATGTGGATAGTTTCTTCGAAAAAGTAAAAAAACAACGAGAAGAGAGGGAGAACCCGGAGAAATCATACTTCTACCTACCTCCAGATCTTCTAAGAAAGAAGTTGGACCAGAAAAAGCGGGAATCTCAAAAGACCCGGCCAAAATCGAACTACGACCGCTCTCTCACCAAGTCATTTGAGGCGGCGCAGAAAAAGACTAGACCAGGAAAAGGTGTTGCACAACTCGGACAACAATCGCAACAATCAGTCCCCCCTATTGTCGTTCGTAATGAATATGGTTCGAACTTAGACTTAGACGTCGATTTTGAGGAGCTGGCTCGGTTTTACAAGGAAACTGGTTTGGACCTTGCCCAAGTGCTCGCTGAAGGACCATCTGCTCCGAAAGTGGATCCTTGGAAGAAATTTGAACGTGGAAAGAGTCTATACAACCCTGAGGCCTTAGGTGAACTGGGTATGCAAATGTACCTGCTAAACAAGTGGTACATGGCGGCGTGTGAACGGGGAGAGGCCTTTGTTACTGTCAGAGTTAGAAACCAACATTACTTCCGTGGCGATGACGTTATATATGTCGAGTTTGAAGAATTACACCAACTATGCCACCTGGACTCTCTCGACAAAAGTCTCATTAGCTGCTATTGTCTGTAAGTGTGATTATTTTCTACTATTAAAGTGTGTATATATAAAGCTTCATGTATATATATACATTATATATCCTCACACTATATTTTTATATATGCAGATATGAGATGACAGAACTCAGAAAGAGAAAGGATAATGATGTTGGTTTCGTTGATCCAAATGTCGTATTCAAACACTCTAATCCCCCGCCTCAATGGAAAGCTGATCTCGAGAAAAATCTCATGAGGTTTTTAGTGAACCAACAAAACAAGGACATACTCTTCCCCTACAACTTCAAGTGAGTGTTAAATAATTAATGTCGATCATATGGACATTTGTTCAATTATTTGCTTACTAGCTAAGCTATCTCCCATATATATACATATATGTTGACTCTAGTTAATGTCGATCATATTTGTGTATAAAAACATATGCAGCAATCACTGGATATTGATGGTCATCGATATGGCCAATAGTCGGTTGAGAATCTTAGACTCGTTAAGAAAAGAGCAAACAGAGTATCAAGACATGATAGATATTATCCAAGGGTAATATGGTCTCTCTAGCAACTATATATACCCCGATCTCTTAACTGCAACAATTATTAAAGACCAAATTAATGTTTTATTTTATTGGGCGCAGTGTTTGGAAAAGTTTCATTAAGAATCACCACATAAAATATTGCAAAGCGCCACTGGATGTAATCGCACACAAAGTAAGTACTATATATATATATATATATATAATTCAATTAACACCATGCATGCTTTCAATTCACCGGATCTTTTTTCTCGTAAAAGTGGGTTCTGAGGCAAGAACAGGGGAACAACTACTGCGGATACTATGTTTATGTTTGCGAGTTTATCGGGGCGTACACAAAAAGAACTCCTGAAGAGATCCTCAAAGTATGTTATATAAATATATTCATATATTCATAATTTCTTTTGTTGCTCATGTATATAAGTAATCAAGTGACCAACACACACACACATATATATATATATATATATATTAATACTTTTTCTTTAACTTTTATTAAAGACTCTATGGTTGAAGGAAAAAGTCATACGACGTGACCAACCGAAAGCAATTCAAGAGACCATAGCAGGATTTCTTAATGACCAGGTCCTCAACCCCGCCGGCGAGTTCTACAATGACGTCAACGAAACATGGAAGTCAAACTAGATGGAGTGATTTTGTTATCCCAAAGATATGATAGAATATACAATGCAACATTTATTTATATATATATATACATATATATATACATATATATATGTATATATATATATATGTATGTATATATATATATATATACACGCACACACATACGTATATATTATATGTACATAAAATAACGTACAATATATGTATATGCATGTAATATGTAATATATACGTTAGTTTCATACTTTAGTTTGTACAAAATGTTCGAACATTATAAACGTGTAGAATACGTATATTATTAGCAGCGTAGAATGCGTATTTGAAAACCTATTCGAAAACCAAAATGAATCATCAATTGAAAATAGAAACAAAAAAAAAGAAAAAAAGAAACATTTAGTCGGTTGGTAATACCAACCGGGACTAAAGGGCTGCCCCACGTGGCCAGGCCGGGAGTCCCTTTAGTCCCGGTTGGTCTTACCAACCGGGACTAAAGATCCTGGGTGCGAAACCGGAACTAAAGGAGGGGACCTTTAGTCCTGATTTCGTACTCCCGGTTCCAAAACCGGGACTGAAGACGGTTGAGAACCGGGAGTATAACCCGTTTCTCCACTAGTGAATCTGATAGGTCAAGAGACAAGGATTACATCATATCTATCTGCTTCATTCCAGATCTGCTGCTTAGGACCATCTACCTATCTGCACCAATCAGGAAGCCAATATCTAACATTCTAACAATGATCATCTTATCTGCACATACATATAGATACAATAGCTATGCAAGACACGCAATGCGAATAATTAAGATACAATAACGACTTCACTAACCAAACTGTTGATTCGTCGCAAACAAACAAACAAACAAACAAACTGTTGATTGGATAATAAAAGGTCTGCATGATAGTAACATAATAGTGCAACACTGAGAATTCAAGCACTTTTCGATAGACTTCAGATAGCATTTGCCGAACTCAAAATGACATAAAGAGTACTATAGCCACAGGGTAGCATGTATACATGCGTACGTGCTGCTACTATGCTCCAACCTTCTCCCTCAGATCATCAAGAATGGATGGGAATTGTTGCGCCAGTTGAACAAAACCATGTGTTAACACGACCTTCTTGAAGTTGTTCTCCTCCACAATGAAGTCAATGCACTTCTTTTTCAGCTGTGGACAGTTATGTGTTTCAGCGCAGATCAAAGTGGCAGCAACACTGTCCACTGATATATTATCCCACAGCTTTCTAGCACAGAAAATCTTAAGGCGATCCAACACGAACCGGTCCGCTGCAGCGAGCAAGTGTGCAAACATGTCATCCGGGGAGTCCCCGAGCTCGTCATCCGCAGGACAAGCATCGGTGTACATGAAGCGGAGCAAGACTTTGAACGTCGCTGGCGCAATGCCATGCAAGGTGATGGATGACATGTTGGCGCCCGCCATGGAGCCCAGGAGCTGCGCCTTGAAGACCGGCGAGCGGGCGGCAAGCACAGCCCAGTGAGCTGGGAACTTTTCGCCGTCGACGACGAAGGAGACATCGGAGCCATCTGCGCAATCCAGCAGGTGGCCGAGATGGCTGCCGACGTCGGAGGGCGGCACGTCTAAGGGTTCCTTGCGCATAACTTTGAGATCGCACGTAATGATGAACGAGCCATTATTCGTCAGGTAGAACGAATCTAGGACGCTTCGCTTCACGAAGCGAGGGAAACCAGTAACTTTGCGGTCGATGCTATGCGTAACCTTCCTTCTATGGGACGAAAATAAAGCACCGCCTCTGTCCATCACGGAGGCCTCTAAGGTTGCTTTGATGTCGTCGTCTTTGGGTTCGCACATACGCACAAGGTAGATAGACAAGTACTCACCATCGTGCTCTTCCCTACCGCACCCGCGCGGATAGCAAACGATCCTCCAGAGGTGCCCACCAGCGGAGATGTCCTTGGAGCTGACTAAGTGTCCGATGGCGAACTTCTCCGTCTACAAATAGTTCAATTTGAACTGATGTGAGAAACTGCAGGAATCGATCATGCTGGCACTCATGTTTACAGTGGCCAGTGGGCAGTATGGACGGCCGGGGTCGCAGATCGAGTAAGGTGGTGTTTAGTTGCCCCTCCTAAATTTTAGTCGCTGTTCCATCGAATGTTTGGACACGTGTATGGAGTATTAAATATAGACTAATTACGAAACTAATTGCATAGTTTACGACTAATTTACGAGATGAATCTTTTAAGTCTAATTAGTCCATGATTTGACAATGTGGTGCTACAGTAAACATGTGCTAATGACGGATTAATTAGGCTTAAAAAATTCGTCTAGTACGTGGAGTACCGACGGATTATGTAATTTGTTTTTTTATTAGTATCCAAACACCTCATGCAACATTCTCCTGACACATCTCCTAAATTTTAGTCATTGGATCAAACACCACCTTATAGTACACTACTTCATCGCAGTGTATATATAGTGCTAGCTACTAGCTAGTAGTCTAGTAATGTCATGGGTGGCCGGTTGGTGTACAGATAACGGAGCCTGGCCAACGCTTGGAGCTCCGAGCAGCCGAGTAGTGAGGAATGACACTGGGGGAGGAGATGGATCGTCTCCGGAACAAGGAACGATGTGCGTTGTTACTACTTAGGAGTAGTAATTAGTATAGGAGTAAAGAGAGATCGTTTCGTATTCTTTCACGAGTGGGTACGCATGCAATTTAGAGAGTGAAGTAATCGAGAGGTCTACGCATACACTCCAGCTTCAATCCGTCCACAGCCCCGTATATGAATCATGAATGCGACCGCCATCCATCTCAAGGATCCCGCGCCAGCCTCCAGGTGGTCGCTGCTTCGTTCAACAAACTCCATGCGACGCCGCTCGATGACGACTCGTGATTCGAAGAAGCACTTGGGTTGGGTGGATGCACCTGGAGTCATTGTTTTGCATGGAACACGAAGATGACATTTCAGGATTTGCGCATACACGTACGTTCCCGAAGCGCGGACGATCAATGCATGGGGCATGCATGGCTCACGTTCACGAGGTCCATCGTTTGTGAGCACAACACACAGCCTTTTCAAATTTCAAGTCGAGGGGATACGTGATGTGGAGGCGGGAATGGGCTTAGTGGCGGTGCCATAGGCAACGGCGAGCTCTGCAGCGACATCCGCGACGGGCTCAGTGGGCATCCAAAGTAGGCTCACTTGACTAGATTTTTTTTAATTATGTTTACACAGGAGGGCATTCAGCCGGTCTGTCCGTCTATGTATCATGATGATTTATACAGGCGTTTTGCCATGAAGCCATGTCATCACCTTGGGCCCGCCTCTCTTCACCTTCGTCGATATAGCAATGACCACTTCGCCTCTTTTCTTTCTTAGCATATCTGAAGTTCTGAACAGACTAGTTAAGGGCTCCAAACGTTGCCATACACTCATATGCTCCAAACGTGCCACTCATAATTAAAAAGTTAATAAATGGCCACTACATGCTCCAAATGTTGCTACTCACAAACAATTAATAAACCGCCAATACATGCTTCAAACGTTGCCACTCACAGGCGATTAATAAACGGCCACTAATCAGAAAGTTATAACGAGCTGCTTCGTTGCATCACGAAACCGTGCGGCGGTCTAGGACCGAGGAGTCAGCTGGTAGGATTTATAAACTATCTTCAACAAATATGACCCAAATACGAAACCCGATGAAATGCAAGTGGCGTTGTAGCAAAAAGGCCACCTACTATTTTTGCTGTTTTCCAACAGTGGGCACAAAAGAAGACCGCGTGCATGCACGCGCGACCGGGCGGCAGCAGTTTGAGTGGTGTGGGGCCAGAGCTAGGTACACACTACGTGAAAAACAATTTGTAGCAATGTGGTTTTTTAGGGGCGGCTGACATTGGAGCAGCCCCTACAGTGACGTGCTCGAGCTCCAGCACAGCTGGTAATACGAGCCGCCCGTACAAATGCGTCGATTTGTAGGGGCGGCTATTACCAGCCGCCCCTGCTGTGTCCATTTCTAGGCGCCCCTGAAAAATCAGACCCACGCGCTCCCAGCCTTGGTATGGCCCACGTGTTAGACAGAGTGGATGAAAAGAATGGCGTGGAACCAGGCTCACGGCGGCCACGCACCCCGCGCAAGTAAAAAAATTCCCCGTCCTTATCCTTTCACTTGGGCGGACTCTTCCTATCTCCCTATTCTTCGCCCTCTCCTCTCTCTCAGAAAGACAACGGTGGCCGGCTGGAGCACAACGCAACCCAGGCGAGGACGCCGCCGATGCGTGTCCGAGGTAAGCCCCTTGCTCCCTCTCTCTGTTCCGTCTCACAGCTTCTCCCTTTGCTTCCCACACAGGGTCATGGAAGAGATTCTGGAAGTGGCAGATCCAGTAGCCATGAGCAGGCGAGGTTCCAACAAAGGGTGGCCCAACGCAGGCCAGGTCAACAGCGGCTTCACTTCCCCTAGATCCAGCGAGGTGAGCCCCTGATCCTCTAGTTCTCCCCACGCATGTCTATGGTGGGATCCAGTAAGGTGAGCCCCTGCTCCTCCCCACGCAGGTCCATGGCGTGGCAGCCATGCATGTTGTAACACGGCCTCCGAGAGTGGCGGAGACCTACGCGGCCATCAGTTCGTGGAGACGTCTCCAACCGACTACCTAAGCAAAGGCCCGGCTACCACGCCTCCAGACCCGGAAAGATGACGGTTTCTCAGACTGCTTGCAGGACGCCGCCGGTGACCCTGGCGGAGCCTCCGCCGGATTAGCTCGTAGGCGTCTCCGGCCGGAGAGGGCGGAGGCCGCCCCGCTGCAAGGCTAATCAAGTGCCAACGTTATCTACGTGTGTGTGCAGGTAACCAGAGGAAGTCGCTCGTGGACGGCGCGGGCGTGCCGGTTCGGCCTCCGCTCGCAGGGGTAGAGACCCAAGCAGGAGGACGACAATACTGGACGTCGGGGGTTTGCGGCCTCGGCGTCCCAGGGGCGGAGACCGATGGCGGCGGCCTAAAGGCCCATCGCCGAATCCTAAGGCCTGATGGACGGCTGATCGCGCAGGCCCAGTACCTGAGGGCAGCAAGACAAGATTACCCCCGAGAAGAAAGGCGAGTAGTGGGATATTCTAAGAATGTACTGTAGCAGTTGAAGGGTAATATTGTAAACTCTATAAAAGTGGTAGTTGAACCCTATAAATAGGGAACACTTGTAACAGTACGAGAGGTTGGTGAATAAATTAATGAAACCCTAGTTTTACGTGCCATTTCCCTACACGCCCGCTTGTCGTGTCTGTTTCCCGAGCCTCAGCCTGAAGGCAGCGCTTGGCGGGCGGAGGCCTCCACCTCCTCCACATTGTCTGAGACCGCAAGTCTCAACATTGGCGCCCACCGTGGTTTGGCCAAGGCAAACCAACGATGGCAGGGAAAAGAAAAACCACCACCAGAGCAGCAACGACCACGGGTCAGCGAGGAAGGCCTAGGCGCACCACTCGTAGCACCTACGCAACCTCGCCAGTGGAGGATGACACCAGAGCAGATGCCCAGGGTCAACCACCGGAACCCCAAGATCCAGAGATTCAAGATCCGGAGGCCCAACCAAACTCAGCCACAACACTCGAGCAAGAACTGCAACAGCTGCAAGCACAGTTGCAAAGAGCGCAACAAGAGAGGGACAGAATGGCAGCAGCATTCGCAGCTAATCAGCAAGCTATTCAAGCGTCAGCACAAGCAGCAGAAATAAGGCAGCAGTTGGCAGTCCTACATGCTGAGATGCTAAGTATGCAGCATGCAGTACCAGCGTCAACCTCCGCAATCCCAGCCTCCGCAGCAACACCAACTGCAACCATACCACAAGGGCCTCCGCCAGTGATCAGCCAGCCCACGATGCCATCTCAGGTGATGCGGAGGCCTATCGATCCCAAGTCCCCACTCTCTGAAGGCATACAACAGTCGCCATGGCCAACGGCGTACAAGCCAATCACACTACCAAAGTTCAACGGAAAGACAGACCCCCATCAGTTCATTATGAGTTACGAGGCAGCAGTAGCCTCCGCCGGCGGAGACGACACCGTCTTGGCAAAGTCATTTGTCATTGTAGCCGAAGGCGACGCGTTGGCTTGGTATTCTATGCTCAAACCAAGCACAGTCTATTCTTGGGAGAACCTTCGGGACAAGATATTGGCAAACTTCAAGGGGCTAACAGCACAGTCGCTGACTTCCACAGATCTGTTCTAGTGCAAGCAAATGCAGGGAGAGACACTACACGACTACTTCCGGAAATTCATGCAACTAAAGGCGAAGGCACCAGACGTCCCAGACGAGATCACCATTGAAACAGCGATCAAAGGTCTCCGAATCGGCCCGTTCGCAGCACACCTAGCAAGAAAGAAACCAACTTCCATACAACAGTTGTATGACGAGTTCGAGAAATACTGTAGATCAGACAATGACCTCCGGAAAAGGCTGGAGGAGCAGGGTCAAAATAGACAGCAAAACAGCAGCAAAAACTCCCAGAAAACCTATATGAACCAGAATGCATCAAATCAGAAACCAGGCCAGGGGCAAGTGCTCAGCATCGAGGGTCAACCTCACCCCGAACAAGGGCAACAGGCAGCGCCAGCACGGCTGGAGACCCAGACCAGGAACCAAGGTCGGCAAGGTTACCAAGGCAAAAACTGGAACAAAAACTACAGCCAGAAACAACACAGACCATATTGCGTTTTTCACGACGAAAACGCAGGGCACAACACCAAAGATTGTCCGGAGACAAAAGAGACACAGGAAAGGATGAAGAACAAGCAGAATGCCCAACCTCCGACACAGCAAAGTGCAAGAGAGGTCAACACCACCTACACAACTGGCCACCAGCAGTACTGCCCAATGTACCCAGCGCTAAACGCAACCCAAATACATCCCTCCACATTGGCCTCTGCCTATTACCCAAACTTCCTACCAGCATGGCGGTCAGCGCCTTCGCAGCAGCCTCCGGCGGGTAACTACAGGTCGGAGGCAAGCCTGACCTACGTAAACCCAAAACCTCCCCACATAACCTACCTCGAAACAAACCCACCGGCACAAAACCAAATCAGGTTCGAGCCTCCGCCGCAACAGCACCACATGCAGCAACTGCCTCCATCGCCACCTCACAACCAACCACCAGCACCAAAAAATGAGCCAAACCCAGAAAACCAAGTCAACCCCATGGACCGCTACCAACAATAGGCATGATACTACCAATCGTCGGAGGATCATCAATGGAGTTTCAAACGAAAAAGCAGAAAAAGGATCACCTCCGCCTGGTAAACAACGTAGCAGTCCAAGGCCCAGCAAAATACACAGATTGGTCCAGAGTCCCAATCACCTTCACAGAAGAAGATCTCCAGCTAGAAAGCTACCCTCACGTAGATGCAATGGTAATCAAGACCAACATAGCAGCATGGGAGATAAGCAGAGTACTGATTGACATCGGCAGTTCAGCAGATATCATCTTCGCAAATACCTTCGACCAAATGAAGCTCAGTAGAAATCAACTATAGCCCTCCGAATCCCCTTTGATAGGATTCGGAGGCAAGCAAATACAAGCATTAGGAAAAATCTCACTCCCAGTGTCGTTTGGATCCCAAGCAAATGCTAGAACCGAGTACATAACCTTTGACGTCGTCGATCTGTATTACCCATACAATGCCATCTTGGGCAGAGGATTCACAACTAAATTCAACGCAGCCCTGCATATGGCCTACCTGTGCATGAAAATACCAGCACTCCATGGTATTATCATAGTCCGAGGCAGCCAGAAAGAAGCAAGAAACATAGAAAAAGCAATCTACAGAGCCCAAAGAAACATCAATGCAGTCGAGTCGGCAGACAAAGAACTAGAGCCTCCGGATATGCCCAGAGGAAAAATAGATATGGTAGGTCAAGAAGAGACAAAGGTGACCCCTCTAGAAAAGGAGTTACCAGACAGAAAAGTAACAATCAGCTCAGAGTTGAGCAAAGTAGAGGAGGAAGAGCTCATGGAAACTCTAGTAAAAAACAAAGACATCTTCGCCTGGTTAGCCTCCGACCTGC